GTGTGTGTGTATGTGTGTGTATGTGTGTGTGTGTGTGTGATCCCATGTGTGTGCCAGTCTTGGGCTTGAATTCAGGGCCTTGGTGCTGTCTCTAAGAATTTTTGCTCAAGACTAGCACTCTACCATTTGAGTCACAGTTCTGTTTCTAACATTTTTGGTGGTTAGTTGAAGATAAGAGCATCACAGACTTTTCCGCCCAGGTTGACCTCCTAAGTAGTTAGGTTTACAGGTATGAGCCACCAGCGCAATTTGTTTGTTTTTATATTGTTGAATTTTAGGATTATTATTCTGAATAATAGTCCTTTATTCTGTTAAATTTTTTCAAACATTTTCTTTTAATCTGTGGTTTCATTTTATTTCAACCTTTTAAAATATCCTTCTAACATGAGCACCAGAGGGTGGCTCATATAGTCTTAGCTACTCAGAAGGCTGAGATCTGAGGATCTCAATTCAAAGTCCTTAGGACTCTTTCCTCCAGTTAACCACCAGAAAACTGGAAATGGAGCTATGTCAGTGTTGAGCAAAAATGCTAAGGAACAGCACTCAGGCCCTGAGTTCAAGCCCTAGTACCAGCACACACACACACACACACACACACACACACACACACACACAACCCTTTTAGTAATTATACTTCTGGATCTCAAAAGGTAAAATTTTTTTAGAGTGTAAGCTTCCATAAAATAAAAGACACTTGATTTTAAGTTAGAAGATATATTTCTAGGTTTGGTAGTTTTAAGGAAATCCTGTCTCTTCCTTCATCTTCAATTTTCCTACCTAGAAATAGAGCTGATAGTATTTGCCTGGCCTTCTTCTGTCTTTATTCCTAACTTCATTCTAAGCATTGGAAAATGAGGGAGAATATATCCTATCACCGTAAGCATTTAGAAATTTTCATTTCATTAAGCATTTTAAATTTAATTTTATTGTCAAGTTGATGCACAGAGAGTTACAGTAACATATATAAGGTAGTGAGTACATTTCTTGTCGAACATTGTTACCCTTCCCTCATTTTTCTCCCACTTTCCCTCCCCCTCAATACCCTCCTAAGTTGAAAAGTTCATTTCCAACACGATATGGAAACAAGAAGTTTTCCTTTGTACTTGTTGTTTTGAATATACTCTGTGATGTTATTTCTCCTTTGATTTCATTTTTTTCTTTTTCCCCTATGGTTTAATCCCCTGTTGTCACTGTATTTGATTATCCTGGGTATTGTATATACATTTATCTGAATTAGGGAATGGAAGGGAAACAAAAAAAATGGTGAGACAAAAGACAAAGGGGGAACCAATGCAATAGTGATACTCATTAAACATTTTTTTTTAAAGAAGATCTAAACTAGGAATGATGAAGACTAGTAAAACACTCCATTCTATACCAGTCTTAGATACTACTAAAATGTTAGGTTTCCTTCAACTGTTGTCTCTTAAATACTAGGATTTAACATCTGAGATTATATTAGTAGGCACCTTTTGAAGGAACCTACAAGTGAACTGAAGATCAATCAATTTAGAATGAGGCATCTTTGGCATTCACAGGATATGATAAGAGGAAGCAAATCTTTTCTAAACTAACTTTTCTGTTATTCCTAGCAACTAGTCACATCAGGACAAATTCATTGTATTATTCATTGCATAAATCATACACTCCAAAACACAATTAGCATTTGTATCTGTAACAAATAGTTACATTTTCTAGATATGTATCTATTAAATTTTCATTTTAATGAAATTATGCATTCATTGTTTCACTCATTAGGCCATTTCACTTGCTGGCTGTGCATGTATACTGCAAATTCTGGGCTTTTGTGATCACACTCTTCTCACCCAGTCTCTAGTTCTCAACCTAATATTTGTTAACACACACAAATTCTTCGCAGAGAGTTTTTTTTTTTTTTTTATGTGCATCCAGAGAGCAGATGCTGTGGAAATGTTATCAAGTTAGAAATGCACAGAGCATTTTTGCAGAATGTGTTTGGTAATGTAGCTCTGACATATCGCTGTAGTTTCAGACTTCTGCTAGCCCAAACTTCATTTTCCAGGGATCTATACAGAAAAGTAATATTAAGAGTTACTAAATGCAATCCTTAGATCAACTGTTTTCACAATGTTAGAACAAGCTTTTAACATATCTGGCATAGGTTTCTCTCTCACTGGAGAAGGGCTAGGCTTTAAGATACTTCATTATAGGAAACTTCATTACAGGGTAGAACTAAAGCAAGATTAAAATCATATCCATTCATATCTTGTCTTATGTGCACCTGCTTCCTGAATTAACCACAGTAGTCCTGCAGAGGGACTGTCAATAGAGAAATTTTCTTGTAACCCCCTTCCCACCTTCAACCCTCTTCTTCTTACTCTTCCTCCCCTTTCTCTCTCCAAAGTGGAAATGATGCTGTGGCTCAAGTGGTAGAACACTAACCTTGAGCTGAAGAACTAAGAGACAGTGTCCAGAGTTCAGGCCCCGCAACTAACAACAACAAAAAATCAGCAAATGCTATCTTCTACTCTGTTACTTATCTGTTCATACTCATCTTATATGCTTATTTATTTAATTTACTTTTGATTAAGTTAATTTATCAGCTTGATATTTTATGGAGACACTTTACATTAGAAAAAATTGATTAACATAATTATTAAAACTTACCTCCAGTGCTTTTCTCTTGTACTTTTATAATTTGAAATGTTATATTTAAGTCTATCATCAATTTGAGTAATTTTTGTGTATATTGCAAGGTATAGAGTATTTTTGTTTGTTTTATATTTCAAGATATGGCTATGCAATAATACCCAAAACTCATTTTGTGTATGTGTGTGTGTGTGTGTGTGTGTCTGTGTCTGTGTCTGTATGTGTGTGCATGTATGCTGGTAATGGGACTTGAAATCAGGGCCTCATGCTCTCAGTTGGAATTTTACACAAGGCTGGATCTCTACTATTTAAGACATATCATTATACATTTGGATTATTCAGGTTAATTGGAGTAAGAGTTTCTTTGATTGGTCTGTCTAGGCTGGCTTGGAATCACGATCCTAAGATCTCAATCGAGTAGCTAGGATTATAGGTATGCCACCTTCCCTAGGGCCAAAACCCTCTTGAAAGTGCTGTCCTTTGTAAACTGAAATGACTGTATGTTTGTCAGAGTTTAATTGTCTATGTATACTTGATTTTATTTCTAGACATCAGTATACAACATTAATGGATTAATCTATATGGAGTTCCACATTAGACTGTTTTATCTCTCTAGATTTAATAGAAGCAGAATTTCAACAATATCCTGAAGAATTACCACTCAATTTCATTTTACAATTTTTGTGTTTTCAGTTTGTTAGTATGAATTACTCTAATTATAAACAGTGAAACTGAGATAATAGAGACAATAAATTTTTATTCCCCAAGCTCCTTACAGCTGTGAAATTTTAATTACTCTGATAAATAGTTTCTCTTCAGTGATCAGGATTCTAGTGAAAGATTTCAACAAACTTTTTTTCTATTTGATGAATAGAAAATATAAAAAAAGACTTTTGTCTGCCCTAGCAACTTAATGGGCACAGAATTAATTTTTGAAATTCAAATTGCAGTGTGTATTTTCTGACTTTGGTTTTGCTCCAAGAAAATCACTGTAAGGATACTCAATTAGAATGAAATATGATTATGGTCTGCGATACAAGGCGATTATTTTTCTACTGAATCACATTTTATTCATGAGAAGAATTGTGACCAGTCAAGTAACAACTAAAATTCATGTACAATCAGGCCATATTCAAACTGAGAAGCAAGAGTTTCGAAAGAAAGAAGAGGGAAAATAGCATCTTTTATCAGACGCCTGAGCAATTCAGATATGCAGTTCTTGCATATAATAAAACATTAGATATTATGATGTGATCATTATAACATTTTGAGATAACACAACTAGAATATTTAAGTAGTGGTAATTTAAATTCTTTCATCTGAGATCTTTTTTCTAGTAGTGAATGTGTAGCAGTTTTTGCTCATTGCTGTTCTATTTCTTTTCAATGTAGTATATTTTCAATATACTATATTTCCATTAATGGTACATTTGTTGCTCTCTCTAAGCCCCTCCCTTGGAGCAGGTACTCAGTTTCCATAGTAACTACTATAAAACTATTGCTCCTGGGATCACAAAATGGGAGAAAGAAAAGCAGAAAGAGAGTATAGATCTACATAGTTGGAGCTATCAAGAACTTTTTATATTTCCCCATTTTTTAAAGGTACCTATAACTTTTTAGAGTAGTATTTCCAGACACAAAATATGCTTCTCCTTAGCCAATAGTATCTTCCACAATCAAAACTGTCAAAAATAGATCAAAGTCGTGCACACACATCCCTTTTGCCTGCACCCCTCATTCATTCTTTCCATTCAAACAGTTGTGCCTGGCATGTGGTTGCTTCACACTGCAACAGAAAGCTTTGTATCTCACCATGTAATAATTACTTAATGCTTTGATCCATTCTACCCACTTTGTATATAATTTGAAATTCGTGTAAATGTATAGCACAAGTTATACATCAGTAATTGAGAACTTTTCCAATTGGATTGATTCTTCTACCTAATTCCAGAGCTTGCTTTTTCTTTTCTTTTCTTTTTTGTATAACTGGGAAAACTGCAAGTCCCTTGTTGGGATTAAGAGGATCATTTCGGATATCTGAAAGTATTTATTCCCAACTTCATTTTCCATGTAGAAAAATCTAGGGACTTTTAAAAAGAGTTTTTTGTTTTGTTTTTGTTTTTTTGTTTTTTTTTTCTCCTGTAGTTAAGAGAGGATTTGGAAATTTGATCCAGTAGGCAGGATAGGGTGCTTCAGAAGGAAGTCTGAGCTTTCTCTCCCTTTTTAATATGAGAATTCGAAAGCAGTGGGAAGTGATGCTCCGCCTATCACGGCATTGCTAACAGACAGCCTATTACAGTATTTAATAAAAACAGAAACAGCATGCCTGTCATAGGCTAATAAATCCTACCTCCTGCACGCTTTCAAAACAGTATGAAGCAGCTTCAACCGAGCTTCCGATAACTAATTTTAAGCATGGCTGTCTAGCGTGCCTGTCACTCCTATTGTCCTTCCAAACTCTTTCAGACATTTTGAGCAAGGAGTATTAAAGCCATGAGTTAGCTGGGGTTGTGACATGAATGGTCCACGAAGGCTTTAGGCAGAAGAGGTAATGATGATTGTCCGTGGCTATTCGGAGGACTGCACTGGATCTCTGTCATTAAAAATTAAGTGTGGCTTTTGAGGAAGATGTGACAACTACACCGGAGGTAGGATTTGCATGTAAAACAAAGGAATCTGTTGCTGTTTGTGTTTTTTGTTTGCTCTGAGCTGTGGATGGGGAGAATTGCAGCCAGGTGCGAGTGAGGAGCAGCAAGGGGAGTGGGATTCCTTCTGCTTAGAGGAAAACGCCGTGGATAGTATTATGTTTTATGGCAGAAATGCCTCGAGGACAAACTGGCTCCAGGCTGGCTCGCAGCCTGCTGAGTATGCATTCCACGCTGCTTTCTCTCGTGGAGTAGAATGCTTAGAGGTCACGGAGAAAACAGTTTGCTTCTTATCAATGGTGCCAGCTGGGCTATTGAGAGGGTGGAGTGAAGACTTTGGTGGGTGGGAGGCATAAAGGTCCAAGGAAAATAGGAGCAAGCTATCCTTAACACTTGAAACCTGTTAGGTAAATATTTTATTGCCATGGCAAATGCGATTTGGTGGTCAGAGTGTAATTTAAAGGTGAAATTGGAAGAGAATGGTGGATTTTCCTGATTAAAAAAACTATTTCTGGTTGAATTTACTATTTAAAAAAACAGCCACCTTTGTGTCCATCTTGTGTGTTGAAAGCTGATCTGTTTCTATGGTTTGCTACAGCAAATCAAGAGTTTTAGACCAAAGAAGGGGCTTTCCCTCTGTCGCTACTCTGGTGTTTCAACAACTGCCGGGCTGCAGAAGGAAATGGTGATTTGCTAGAGGTTATGGAGTTGTTGTTTTACCTTGATTGTTTTAATGACTGAAACACGAAATTCCCCTTGAATGAAGGTAGTTGGGTTCCAAAGTCCAGTGGAAAATGAGTAGATTTGCTGGGGAAAGAAACTCACCTTGCTTTGTACTTTATATGGGATTGGTTAAGCACTATCCAAAAGGAAATGTCAGGAAACACGGACAGAGATTTTGTTGAATCAAAAGTGCAAGAATCAGAAACCAATGTTTCCCCAACTCCATCTGTGGAGCAAGTTTCAATCTTTGTCATTGCATGTGACCCTCAGTGAGAAGTGTTAGAAAGGCTATGAGTGATTTTCTAAGTGCCACTGATTATTTCCCTGGTAGACCTCACAAACTCCAAGGTGTAAAGATACTGCTATCTGAAAAACTCTCTAATTGGAAGCAATGATTTGGCTATAATGAATGGCAAAGGTATCTGAAATAATCACATATTTATGATTTACGAATGTAATATTCTTCACATGCTTCTATAACTTCTCTATTAAGGCAATGTTAGTGAAAAATCATTACACTGTGTTTTTCTACTGCTAAATACTGGAATTTTAAAGCTAACTGGGACTTTACTCTTGTTTGATGCAGTTGAGTTTATGTATTTGTGAGAAGCTGTCATTCACATGCAGTTGAAATCATTGCTTTGTAATAGTAGCATCTGTGCTTGAAAGTTTGGTTTCTGCTTTTTCTAAGTGTGATGGATATTACTGAAACCAGTCAAATTATCTTAGTTGCTGTTTATGTGAGCAAAAACACATGATCATGATAGGACTGTATAGAATTCCTGGTTCAACTATGGCATAATTTTTTTGCTTTTGTGTGGCCAGTGGAATGTGTGACCTTGACCATGTAAAGTCCCATTCTCCATCCAATTGAGCTCACCAGCCAAAAACCCATCTATAGTAAGAGCTTGAACTACACAGAGATATACATGTACCTTTAACTGTTATTAGAAGTTTATAGGTAGATAATGTTTTAATTGTCTTTATTAATTTCACTAATTTTAGAAGGAATTTCGTTGGCTGTGACCTTACCAATATGTCTTGTAATATCAAGTATTTACATTGGAGGTAATTTGTGCTGTGATAATCATTAATAAAAGAAATTATCTGGCTAAGGTTAAACTTATAACACTTCACTGATAAAATGACTTTTCACAATTTTCACAAATTTATTAGGAGAAATTCCTAGATTAAATCTTGCTGCTTTTTGTGGCTTGACAGCAAACCCACACAATGAAAAATAGAGAGGAAATATAACAAATTACTTGTCAGCTGTGAGGAAAGTTAATCTGAGCAATGTAGACAAATAATCTATTTTATGACACTAATTAATTTCATTGACCATTTACATTTAAATATCAGACACAAAATATTCTTCCTTTTCAGTTTCTGGTATTCAGTTTCTGCTATGTAACAATGACAATAACAAAAAATAGTCCTACAGAAAGTGAGGCTGGATTCCACATAGAAGAATACAGCTTTAGTCAACCTTAATATCTCTGTTCTTTAGTAACATAGCCACTGTTGTGAGCCACTAAGACACTTGGTACCCAGAGTTCTTCTTATTTTTCTGCCTCCTATTCACATGCAGTTATCATCCTACTGTATTGGAAGATATTGGAGCTGGCATTTCTTACACTAACACTTCTTTAATCATTTCCCTCCTCTAGTGGGAAATATGATGAAAAGTGAATCTTCAAAAGTATTCTAGGTATTAAATCATATAGAAAACTGTACTGTAATAAGATTTATAATATAATCTTAATTTTGTTTATTATATACATATGTGTGAAGGGAAAAACTTTTAAAAGTACACCAAAATACCAGCAGCAATTGTTTCAGTATGGTGTATTTTATTCTCTTTATTTGGATAGTTGCTAATTTTATATAGTTGTCACAAGAAAACATAGCACAAAAGTTTATCTCTGCCTTTTTTTCCAATCATGTTATCCTTTTCTCTTACTTAACACACACTGTGTCTTCACTCCAAATTCTGACGTTATTTGTCCAAACAGGACTGTGCAGGAAAGGCATTTGTCTGCCAGGACTTCCTTGGGTTTCTTGACATATCATGAGAAATTCAGCAGAGTCAGACTCCCAATTCTTTACTTGGATTTTATAGAAAAGGGGTGTGTGTGTGTGTGTGTGTGTGTGTGTGTGTGTAAAATTTCTACTTTTTCATAAACAAAAAATATTCTAACTTCTTTTCAGGTTCCTCATTGTGCCCTTGATCTTAAAATGTTACAGTATAAATGTATTCCTTTTCTATATTTATGTGCTTAGTGAGTAAAACCTAGTCTCAAGATCCACACACAGAGAGCTCACAAATTTCATTAACCTGGATGCTTCCTCTAGCCTCTGCACTTACGCATCCAACTGTATACATCCCATTGCCTTCCAAAGGTCTCACACTTCCCACGTTGAAATCAGATTTCTGATTTCCACATAGAAGTCTTCCCATAGTTTCCTCTCACATTCATAAACAGAAACATGAGTCCTCCTTGTTCAGAAAAGACAATAATCTGACAACCTTCTTTGAATCCTTTCTTTCATATATCATAGAAAAATCTCTGCCTTCAAACTGTATCCAAAATTTAAGTACTTACAATTTCCACTGTTTGTTGACAACAGATTAGTATACTTTTTCAGTAGTTGATTTGTTCCTTCTGCCTCCTTCTGCACCCCATCATACATTCAATTCTGTTTCCAAAACCATTGCTCATCCAAAATTAAAATTAAATTGTATCTTCTGCTCAAAAGCATGCATTCTTATCTGAATGTAGATTAAGGCCAAGTCCTTGAGGGGCCCACAGGACCAGCTTCTCCCACTTAAGTCACTCAGGCCTTCCATGCTCATCTTCACACTTGTCCTGTACTCTTAAACCTCAGGACCTTTGATTTTGCTGTAATGACTGCCTAGAAATTCTTCTACATAACCACTTGACTCTGTCCTTCACTTTTCTCAGGTCATTGCTATTAGGCTTCCTGTTTAGCAGGCACTCAGTAAGTAAGTGTCAAATAATTGAGCAAGTTGTTCCATATAGAAAGTAAATGTTTTCCTCATAAAAACTCACAAGCAGCATTAGATTCCAGGCATCAGGTTTTTAATATAATGTTAATATAACATTCTATTGCTTTTTTCAAAGAAAAAGATATTGAGTATCTTCAGGACAGTCAAGGAGGTTTATCAAAGAAATTTTCTTCTTCCTTTCTTCATAGAGGGGGAACACTATATCATTAATTTCAATCTGTGTGAAAGTAAATACAAATTCAATTTGTCTGAATTTCATCTAACCCAAATGATGACTTAAAGTTCAAAAAGGACATTTTTGTAGATCTCCTATACACATGAGTATGGATACATCCCTATGCTTTCTCTGTTTCTCTTTATTGATCAGGGAAGAGGAAGAGGGAAAAATTTAAAAACCCTGGGCTGGCATGTACCTCGGTGGCAAAGCGCTTGCCTAGGAAGTACAATGTCCTGGGTTTGATCCCAGAATCAAAAAAAGAAAAGACAAAAAAAAATTGAATACCTGTTGGAAGGTTGAGTTGAAATCAGTCTTCTTTTTTGAAGAAAAGAGTTCCAGTAGCCTCATAGCAATAGGAATCAGCCAGTGGTAATCAATAATGTCAATATTCATTTGCATTCTCCCCAAATAGCATGAATCATGTAACCATGATACTCTATCATTCACATGGTATATACTTTTAAATAATTAATGTATAGTTAGGGCAGTTGATTGTCCAAATCAGGTCTAAACAATAACCCCTCACTATTTCTAGAACAGTTTACAGAGGTAGTGTACAGAGGACACAGCATTTGAGATAAACACCAAGCTGGATCTCACCTCTACTTCACAGGTATGTAACTTTGGGTGAGTTTTAAAAATCATTCTGAGCCTCTATTTTCTCCTTGGCACATGATGATAATAATACTTCTTTGGATTGAAGATTAAATTTAATAATGTATGCCCCCCCACTAAAGTACCTGGTAGAAAGAAGCTGAAGTAAAAGATATCTTGTTGCTATTGTCACTTAATCCTCACAGCATTTCTCAGCAGTGATATCATACTTTTCCATTGAGCAGATAAGAAAACTAAGGTGTTGAGAAGTTAATCAAACTGCTCAAGGTCAGAGAGCTAGCAAGCTATTAAAATATACTTTTCTTTCCATAGACACTCATGATACAAAGAATGTCAGATTAACCATCAGTAATGTATTTAGTGGCTGAAAGCTGCAGTGATTATAGGAAATTTGTTTTAAGGAAGAACCTAAAGACA